AGTAGATGTTGTCCAGGCCACAGAACAATCTGCCCCGAAGAGGGAAACAAAAACGCATTTAGCATAATTCAGAACTCTCCCATTTACAAACACAAGTCTTGATTCACTGATTTTCTGTCAAGAAAAATGCAGTGTACATAGATGTGTTGTCCAAACCATCAAACAATTTAGGGAAAGGCAATTCAAAATTCGCCAAATCCCCGCAATTTGAATGTGCTTGAAGCTGAACTCTTTGAAAAAAACACTTTGATTCAGAAGACTCGTATTTATTGACAAGACAGCAGACTTCCAATGAGCATGACATAGACCGCAATGCCGACTATACTTAAACTCATCTGCAAGTCTAGGTTGCTTGATAACAATCTCCGACGGGGATTGCCATCTGCTATAATGCCGCGAAGGGGGCAGTTGATCACATCATAAAGGCATCGCATTTTCAGTTTTGCCTGTCCAATGCATCGTCATTACCTTTGATGGACTGAGTAGGACTTTTGAGGGCGAGCATAAGCGAGCAGAGCACCGTCTTCAAAGCTAACCGAGAAGGCATTGCTGCTGCTGGACTGATGGGTAGCCGAGAAATCCTCCAAGATCTCCCTCGGGAACTTGGGCTCCCTCGTTGCAGCAGTCTTCAAAGGGTGCGGGCTGTTGAGCTCCTGCGGCGGGTGAGCCAGACCCTTCTTGAATATACCCAACATTTTCCTTCCCCTTTTGCAATATCACTATCAAACACAAAACCCAGAAGAGACCGATGAAAGCTTTCAAATCGACGCTAAGAAACCGATGAAACGGTGATTGGAGAGACGATGGAGGAAGTTCTGTTCGTTCTCTGCGCCTATATATACTGAGAAAACCAACGTGGAAACATTATCCAGAATGGTGGGCCCCAATCACAACAGCCCACGTGTGATTTTGTCGATGAGCAATTTGGTACAAGAGATGAGATCTGTTCTGGGTCGTCTCGTTCATTTTTTTCGTGTCTTCAAATAGATAAAGATGAAACCTTTTACCGGGGGTTTGCCTGGGGTTGAGGGAGTGAGAAGTGTCTCTCGGGTGGTTTTGTTCTCTAAGCATCGGACATTAGTTTGCTTTCTTGTAATCTAATCGATTGAAATCCGCGTGAATCACTCAGAATGAACATAGAATATTGAAATAAATTACTTATTGAAAACATTCAAAAAATCTTCGATAAATACATTTTATGGGATATGTTAAGTCCACATTTCCAATTCGATGAAATGATCGGGAAATTGCACGAGCATCGAGACATTAAATTAAGTGAAAAATGAATCTCACACACTTAAATTCTTCGATGATTAAATAAAATAAATCGAAAAAATTTGATCCCTTAAAGAAAAGAAAAGAAAAAATAAAATAAAATAAAATAAATCGAAAAAATAAAAAATAATATTAAAAAATTATGTATGGGTAAAATTATCGCAGGTATACCATTTTGAGGTTTTTTGTGGTCAAAAAAATAATTCGGGGTAAAATTATCACAGATGTACCAGTTTGAGATTTTTTGTAGTAAAAAAAATAATTTAGAGTAAATTTATCATAAGTGTATCAATTTAGGATTTTTCGTGATTTTAATCCCTTATTAAAAAGGAATTGGAAAATGAAGAGAGGTGGGCAGTATCTCCAATATTGATCTGGCCGAATAAATGTCATTTTTAAAAATGCAATAGCAAATTTTATTGTAATAATAATAAATTATTTTTAGAAGTACGAGGAATTGGTCAAAGTGGCCTTATCCACGAAATGATGTGACGCTTTGACGCCAATCCGAGTCAGCCGCTCGGTTCCTGTCGGCTATGTCGTGGATCACACTCATCTCCACGCCTTCCATCTACCATTTTGTTCATTTTAATATTGGATCGAAAAAATAGTACTAATAGAATAAAGGGAAAAAATCACCAAAAATCCCAAACTTTGCTCTCTATGACATATTTACCCCAAAATTTTTTTTGTGACACTAAAAATCCCAAACTTTGCTATTTGTGACACATTTACCCCAATATACTGTAGCCTAGGGTATTTTAGTCTTTTTCCCTTTTTCTATTTTTTTTTCTGTTTTTTTTTTCTTTTTTCCGGCAAGGGCGAGGGCTGCCCGCCGGCGTCGGGCGAGGGCTTCCCTCGCCCCTCCTAGGCGAGGCGACCCTCGCCGGATCCGGCGAGGGCGACCCTCGCTCGACGCGGCGCGAGGGTCGCCCTCGCTCGGGCGAGCGAGGCGGCCCTCGCCGACGCCCTCGCCCCTCGCCGCGTCGGCGAGGGCTACCCTCGCTCGCCCTGGGCGAGGGCGACCCTCGCGGCGTCGAGCGAGGGTCGCCCTCGCCGGATCGCGAGGGCCGCCTCGCCTTGGCGGGCGAGAAGCCTCGCCCGACGCCGCGCGGCACCTCGCCCGCCCGGGCGAGGGCGGCCTTAACCTCGCCCGGACGCCGGCGAGGCGAGGGCTGCCCTCGCCTAACGCCGGCGGCGGCCACTCGCCCGGGCGGGCGAGGGTCCTTGGCCCGGCGCCGGCGAGGCGCCCTCGCCCGGGCGGGCGAGGGTCCTTTGCCCGACGCCGGCGAGGCGAGGGCTGCCCTCGCCCAACGCCGGCGAGGGCAGCTCTCGCCTGGGCGCGGCGAGGGTCCCTCGCCCTCGCCGGAAAAAAGAAAAAAAAACAGAAAAAAATAGAAAAAGGGAAAATGACTAAAATACCATAGTCTACAGTATATTGGGGTAAATGTGTTACAAATAGCAAAGTTTGGGGTTTTTGGTGTGACAAAAAAAAGTTTGGGGTAAATGTGTCACAGAGGGCAAAGTTTGGGGTTTTTGGTGATTTTTTCCCTAGAATAAAAAAGAAGAAAGTGCACTACCCCAGTCCCACACAAAATCTGGCGAATAGACCTGATGGATGGGGTCGAGTTTGGATCATGTCGTAAACATTACGAATCCAATTCACCCATCAAATCATTTATGATCTATTTATTCATAATGTAAATTTCTTAACTCATACCTGATTCAATCCATATTGCTAAACTACTTTCATGTATTGCTAAATTTAAGAAACTCGTTGCATATGATTTCTTAAAAAAATTATATTGATAAATCACTTCCATGCAATACAAATTCAATAAATAAATTTAATTTTTTTTCTTTTCCGTTTTTTTCTTCTACGTCCGCCGTCGCCCGTATAGCATGACCCTCGCCAGATTTCGTAAAAAAAGAAAGAAAGTAAAAGACAAAATAAATTTTAAATTTTTTAAAAAAAACCTGTTATTGTTCACCTTAACTTATCAAATAACTCATTTAAAATCAAGCCCAAGAGAGAAAAATTAGGGGCACTCCCAAAATCTTCCAAACCATGAACAAAGCTGGACTTTCAAGAGTCATTTGGATCATTTTGAATGAACGTGGTGTTGAAGTTAGATCCAACTAATTTCGAATGTCCCTTTGGTGGCGAATGGGCAGGTCGGGCCGGCTTCGAATGACAGCATTCTGAAGACTTTGGCTCGGATCTTTTTGGGGCCGAAGCATCTCGGTGTCGGATTGCTCGGTCCCGAGCAAAATCGATCTGAACCAGGCTTGGTTACGAGCCATGATAAGGAGGGGGTGGATTCTCCAATCGTTTCCAATTCCGCGAGGATGGACCACCGTCGAGGCAAAGGGTCTGGTGGCGGGGAACAAAATTGATTCAGATGTTTGCGAGCAAAACGTGCAAAACAGTGGAATTGAATACTTCTTTGAAATTAGCGGTTCTGTGGTTTTCTAGGTCGAGTTTATACGTTATGATTTGAAATGAAAATTAGCGAGTATTGATCTGATGTGGGTTTTTCTTTTCCTTTCTAATGGTCGACATGAAGGCGACAAACCTCATTCTATTTGTTCCGTATGACTTTTCTTTGTGCTACTCGAAGAGAAGATCCTCTACTTCTTTCGGTACTTTACTTGGTGCTGCAATGAATCTCAACTTTTGCGGAAGGCCTCATTTTCATAGGGTTGATTTATATGGAGACACCAAGAACCAAGCAAGCAAGCATTATACCAAGTAAAAAGATCCGTGTCCCTCAATCTCCTGATCGCTTAAGGTAAGTTCTGGAGCAGGGATGGAGGGAGAGAGACATAGAGAGGTGGCCCCCATCTGATAGATATATGGAAGGTTTTGCGAATTGACATGCAATATTCCCTTCACAAATGAACCCATGATTCCATGGTACGTTTTAGGAGCGAGCAATCGGGCCGGTTCAACACAAAAAATTACCTGAATCTGCTTTATTCGGTTGGTTCACAGGGGGACTAGTCCAGTTCTCGGTTAAAAAATCGAGAACTGAGCCTGTTTGAATCAATTCATACCTCTAATATTGCCGCCTCTCTCTCTCTCTCAAGTTGATCGCTCCCTCAGGCCTTCTTCATTCATGCTCTCTCTTCGCCGGCGATTTTACGACTCGATAAATGAGTATTGATGGGATAGAGTACTAGTGATGAGAGGAGTAGCATCAACATCTTCCTCCAGTCCCAACACCATATCGTTCTTTTCAAGTCCTGCCTTTTTTTTTTTCTGCAGTTTTTTGCTCCTGATCTCTAATTGACAATCAAATTGCGTTTACGATGCGATCTTATACAGCTGTTTTACTCTTAGTTTCCATGTTTTAAAATCATGGGTAAGTTTAACAACTGCAGTTTATACAACTTTGTTTTTTAAGTTTTTCTCGTTTTGACATCGTGATTAAAATTTGAATAAGCTGCTGTAGATTTATTACTTTCTCGAGACACGCGATGCGATGCGACATCCACCAAGCGTCACATTAGAAAGAACTTGAAATTTCTTTTAAAATATGTATGGTAAAAAGTTAAAATAAAAAAAAAAAAGACAAAAGAAAGGATGGCATTGTAAAGAAAATGAAATTTTAAGATAAAAATGGCAAGTCATTGGATTGTTCAGTTTCACTATAAGTTTTGAGACTTTTGATGCACTTATCTTCATTTTTATACAAAGTACATTTCAACTGACAACGATGATACAAAATCCCTATCACAATGAAAATGGATCAATCACTAAATACAATTTTTTTGTTCCAAGAATCTACATTATTCGAATGGTCGGTAGTCTACTTCGGGCCGGCCCCCCGAGTCTCATGCACTTTGACCCCAAATTGCCCAATTGGCTTCGCTCCCGACACGTGGCATGGCGTGGACCTTGGACTGGACATCGACCTTGAAATTGGCCCCGCACATGACCCCCTCGCTGTCGATCCTCGGCATCGCCTTCACTTTGCTCCTCGGATGTTCAAAGCTCATCAATCCGTGCTCACTATGAAACATACATCCTGCCCCCCAAAAAGAAAGGAAATAACCCATTTTCAGTAATTCAATTGTTAAGCATATACTCTCCTGTTTTAGAACATTTTATATCATTAATCTCACGAAGTTTACTTATTATTGAAAAATATTTAGAGCACACAATACAAACCTGGTGGGAATGGAGCAAATGATTTGGCACAACTCCCTTTCACGACCTCTAAGTTGTCCGAAATCACCAGAGACCCATCTGCTGCAATCCCCCAGAACAGCCTCACCCCTTCTTCTGCTCCCTATATTCATCATCAAGACCGTAACATTTAATTTGGATTTGTCAAACATTCCTCCAAGTCAATTTGGTTTGGAGTTATAATGAACAAGATTGATGTTGTTGAGAGAAATTACAGATGCGGCGAAAATGGTCCCCGCCTTGCCATCGTAGAGCACGAAGCCGTAGTCGCCGTCCAGATCCTTGAGGACCTGATCTGCTGGGTACGGGCCACGGTCGCGGAGGGTCCGGTAGGCCTCGATCACGAACATGGCCTCATCCGTGCCCTTCGACAGGCCGTATTGCTTGATGAGGCTGCTCAGGTTGTTCAGGCTGCCCCGGAAAATGCAGTAGATGTTGTCCAGGCCACAGAACAATCTGCCCAGAAAAGGGAAACAAAAACGCATTTAGCATAATTCTGAACTTTTCCGTTTACAACTAAAAAAGAAAGAAAACACAAGTCTTGATTCACTGATTTCCTGTCAAGAAAAATGCAGATTACATGGATATGTTGTCCGAACCATCAAACAATTTAGGGAAAGGCAATTTAAAATTCGCGAAATTCCCGCATTGCAAATGTGCTCGAAGCTGAACTCTTTGAAAAGTAACTTTGATACAGAAGACTCGTTTATATTGCCAAGACAGCAGACTTCCGATGAGCACGACATAAACCGCAATGCCAACTATACTTGAACTCATCTGCAAGTCTAGCTTTGCTTGATAGCAATCTCTGACGGGGATTGCCATCTGCTATAATGCCGCAAAGGGAGCAGTCAATCACATCATAAAGGCATCACATTTTTCAGTTTTGATGCCCAATGCATCGTCATTACCTTTGATGGACTGAGTAGGACTTCTGAGGGCGAGCATAAGCGAGCAAAGCACCGTCTTCAAAGCTAACCGAGAAGGCATTGCCGCTGCTGGACTGATGGGTAGCCAAGAAATCCTCCAAGATCTCCCTTGGGAACTTGGGCTCCCTCGTGGCGATCTTCAACGGGTGCGGGCTGTTGAGCTCCTGCGGCGGGTGAGCCAGACCCTTCTTGAATATACCCAACATTTTCCTTCCCCTTTTGCAATATCACAATCAAACACAAAACCCAGAAGAGAGAACAAGAACAAAAATAACACAAGCTTGAACAGCTTTCGAACGACGCTACAAAACCGATGAAACGGTGATTGGAGAAACTTGATGCAAGTGATGGAGGAAGATCCGTTTGTTCTTGGTGCCTATATATACTGAGAAAACCAACGTGGAAACATTATCCAGAATGGTGGGCCCAACGACAACCAGCCACGTGTAATTTTGTCCAAATTTGGTACAAGAGATTAGATCTTTTTCTGGGTCTTATGTATTTTTTTCTTGTCTTTAAATAGATAAAGATGAATCCTTTTTACCTGGGGTTGAGGAAGTGAGAAGTCCGTCAGGAGGTTTTGTTTCGTTCTCTAAAAGCAACGGACATTAGCTTGCTTTCGTGTGATCCAACCGATTGAAATAGGCGCGAACCGCACGGACGAATGTAGCACCAGAACAAGCTGCTTGTTAAAAACGTTCGAGATCTTTAACAAACTCGTTTAGCAACATAAGGTTATGTCCCGCGTCACAAATTTAACGAAATTATCAGGATTTTACAAGAACGTCATGAGATCTTATCGAGTGGTCACGAATCTCGGGCACTTGAGTTCTTATGGCTCCTTAGTTTGGATGGGTCACCCTAGATGTTCACATGTATGATATGCAGTTACACAGAAGAACTGTTTTTTTTGTATTTTTTTTGTTAAAATGGGAAAAAGGGGCGAGAAATAACAATTGAAGAAAAAAGGGGTGGAAAATGGAGAGAGGTGGGTGGCATTATCTCCATCCAATATTATCAACCTGACAGAATAAATGTTACTTTTTTTTAAAAGCAAAATAGCAGAATTTTTTTTATAATAATTATTCGAGGAATACGAGGAATCGGTCAAAGCGGCCTTATCCATCCACGAAATGATGCGACGCTTGACGCCGATCCGAGTCAGCCACTTCATTCCTGTCGGCCAATCTCGTGGATCAAAGTCATCTCCACGTCTTCTTCCTATCTACAGTTTTGTTGATTTCCTTATCGAATTTAGGATAAATGCCAAAAAAAAAAAATTCCTTAAATTATCCTCACGGTGACTCATTTATTCTAAACCGTTACACTAAACATCTCAAATTTATAGCTGTGTAACACATTTACCCTCTTCCGTCAAAATTCTATTAATGAGAACCGTTAAAATTCTATCTGCATAGACGCTAAAATAGCAAATGTAGTGGACATAACACTCGTGTGGTTCAAGTGAAATAAAAACGAAATTATTTTGGGCGAATAATGATCTAACTGAATTTTAACGGGGATAAATATATCATACGGATTCGAGTTTAGGGTTTTTTATGTAGGGTAAATGTATAGCAGTGAACATAGTTCAGAGTTTTTTTGTGACTTTTTTCTTGGAATTTTTATTTGTTTTGGAATTAAAAATTCAAAAAAATAATAATTATAAAATAAAAAGAAAGTGCACTACGCCGGTCCCACACAGAATCTGGCGACCATGTCGTTGACCACTGCATTTTGACTGTCCACTGGGCCTGACTGTCGAGGCCCAAATCCAGGCCCAAGAGAGAAAAGAGAAATTAGAGGGCACTCTCGAAATCTTCTAAACCATGAACCAAAGGTGGACTTTCAAGAGTCGTTCGCATCATTTTGGGGACTTAAAGTTGAAGATCCAACAGATTTCAAGTGTCCATATTGGTGGCAAATGGGCGGGTCGGGTCGGATTCGGACGATGGTGTTCCCAAGACTCTGGCTTGGATCTTTTCCGGGCCAAACCATCTCGGTTTTCGGATTGGTTGGACCGAGTCGGTTTCGATCTGAACCGGGCTTGGTTTTGAGCCATGGTAAGAAGGGGTGGATTCTACATTCATTTTTAATTATGCGAGGATGGACCGTTGAGGCAAAGGGTCGAGTGGTGGGGGATGAAATCGATTCAGATATTTGAGAGTAAAGTGTACGAAACAGAATGAATTTGGGTGATGTAGAATACTTCTTCGAAAGTATTCAGGCCGGTTCAACCCGGGAAATGACCCAAACCTACCTTATCCGGCCAATTCACACAGAGACCAACCTGGTTCTTGGTTTCTAAATTCGAAAAAACCGAACCCATTTGAGCTTCTCTCCATTTTGACACTTGCCGCCTCTTTCTCTCTATATCTTTGAGTTCCTCACTTTCTCTCTCTCACTCAAACTCGTCGCTTACTCAGGCTTTCTTCACTCGTGCTCTCTCTTCGCCGGCGATTTTATGACTCGACGACTGAGTATTGATGGAATAGAGTTCGAGTGATGAGAGGAGTAGCATCAGCATCGTCCTCGAGTCCCAACACCATATCATTCTTCTCAAGTCCTGCCTTCTTTTTTTTTTTTTCAGTTTTTCGTTCGCTGATCTCTCGACTCATTTGCTTCCACTTTTAAATGTTCCTTCATGTGTACCATAGTTATGTGAAATCTGCGGTTTAACTATGCTGCTTCCATTGCCTTCTCAGTTTGTCATTTTGACATCGGGAGTAACTTTTGAATGAGCTGGGTCTAGGTCTGTTTCTTCGCTAGTTGATGTGCATTTGGGGGACATGTTTGGTTCCCCAGTTGACCTTGAAATTGACCGGTTCGGTTCTAGGCCGGGTCTAAAATCGACTGGGTTGATTTCCGATTCTAAAAATTAGGAACCCGCCTTGATTGAACCTACCCATTCCGGAACCTATCACTCATAATACATTTTGCTTGGTGTTGCATGATTTATAGCTCAATAATTATTCTTTCAATAAGCTTTCAATTGTAAAATATCTAATATACTTCATAGCATGCATTATAGGCGGGATAAAATTTTATATCGAAAGACATTTAACTTACATTTATAGGATAGGTGTACTGAAAATCCTAAAACTTGTTGCGAAAGTGCAATTGAGCTCTAAAACTCTAGAACAAAAAAATGCAATTAAGTCATAAAACTTGTCAAATTAGAATAATCAAGTCATTTCGTTAATTCCGTCCAATTTCGCTATCGGAAAATGCCGACTTGGCTTTTTTTTATTACTTTCTCAAAACATGTCCAACACCATGTGTTGGATGTCACATCAACACAAGAAAGGCAAGTAATTAGGTTATTTAGTTTCAAGATAAGTTTTAAGACTTTAGGTGCACCTATCTCAATTAATGATCGTACAAAATCCTTATCATAATGAAAACGGATCGATCAGTAAATACAATTTTTATCAAAGAATCTACATAATTTGAAAGGATCATGCTGCGAACAGTCTCTGAACTTTGGCTTAATGTGTAATTTGGTCCCTGAACTTTTAATTTGTTCAATATAGTCCTTGAACTTTAACCTAATATTCAATGTGGTTCATGAACTTTCAATTTGTTCAATGTGATCCTTGAACTTTTGATACATATTCAGTTTAGTCCCTGAACGATATGAAAATGTACAACATAGTCCTTGAACTTGAATTAATGGAAGGACTACATTGAGCATTTTTATAAAGTTCAAGGACTATATTGAGCATGTACCAAAAGTTCATGGATCATATTAAATAAATTGAAAGTTTAGGGACCACACTGAACATTGAGTTAAATTTCAGGGACTACATTGAACAAATTAAAAGTTCAAGGATCAAATTATATATTGAGTCAAAATTCATAGACCGTTTGTATCATTTTGCCTAATTTGAATGGTTGGTAGCCCACTTCGGGCCTCCCAAGTCTTTTTGGAAATCCTCCTTGGCAAGTGTTTTCTTCTCATTCACACCAAAAACAGACAGTTGTGGGTGGGACTTGAATAAAGACAAGAGAGCGACTAATCAAATAATAATTCATGTTGGACATTGTCTTGCACACGCAACTTTTTGTAATCCCAAGTTCAATGTACATCCATCAAATTTCCATCGACTGATTAACTTAGGGAGACTTTAAGTAATGTCCTAACTTCCTATAAAGCCATTTGCGTAAGTCGTAGTAGATTAGGTTGGCATATCTCAATGATTGGGTTTGTGTGGTGACGGGTAACTAACCTGGAACGGGAGGACATACATGAAAGATCTCGTGGGACCGTAACCGGCTGCTTCGGAAGCTTAAGCTGATAGGAAGAAGGAAGCCACGTGTATATGATGCCTCAGCCAGCCATTTAAATTGCGGAAGAGTAAAAATAAAGATGAAATTGCAAGAACATTGAGTTTTTTTATCGATTAAAGGAAGCTTTTACGAAAAGTACGACACAACTATTAAAAGCGTACAATCAACGGGTACAAACGTTATTGAATTTAAAAAAGAAAAAGATAACTTCCGGATTCTATCTTCAAAACAAATAACATTTTAATCCTATTTGCGATCACAAGACGTTACAAATCTGAAACCATCGTCACTCTCAGTCACACATCGATATAGATGACTATCATCTCCAAAAATCTGATGTTTTGTGTCGATAGCTTCCTTGGCGAGTTATCGAAGCTGTCCAACTGCTCTTTTTATTGATGGCTTTTGTTGTTCACCAACTGTGTTACTATAAATTAAATCAGCCGATTGTCGATTATAACCAAAAGTTGGTCATTTTTTGGGTGTCAACACATCTATATTCGTAAAATTCACGTTCCATACAAGCCTCATTTGCTCACTTTATGCTCGAGCGTGGAACCGTACGGCAATCTCGATCGCTCTCCAAGCCTCCGGAGTTCCCATCTTTCTTTTTCATTCTCTACGTACGACGATGACATTTGCGCACACGGCAAAATCACATTGCGAGCTAGGCTTCAATCAAAATACCCGGACGATCAAAACCCGCACGACATTGAACGCACGGCGTGAAGCCCTAAGAATTACATCAACATCTCAATCGTGATTCGACTCGCACGTACGGTTCGGGCACGGCGAACGTGGCCCGTGGGTACGCACGACGGTCCCCGAGCAACTCTCCGTCGTCTCATCGGGACTCTAATTCGTCTCGACCCCCTGTCCGGACCATGTCCCAATCATGGCAAGAACTGTACGCGGTCGAGACGCGTGCAGAGAGAGAGAGAGAGAGAGAGCGAGCTCCGCGATTGACACGTGCCGGTCGTCCCTCCCGCATGTCCGGTATCAGCGCAGAACCTCTGTACCACCATACCACCACCACCACCGCCTTACTGTTTGTGGTT